GCAGAGATACTAATACAGAGAAAACAAAGTGATGTTTTTTAAATAGTGGTTTAATCACTCCCAGCTTGAAGGCCCTTTGTACGTACCCCATTAACAGAGATAAATGATGACATTGTGGTGGACCACTAGAGGGCTCCACACACAACTGAATACAAAAGTATTCAGAATACAAAAGTATTAAGTTGTGTGGTGATGAGTAATAAAGTAATAAACCAGGTTTGTTAATCGAGAGCTCTCCTGTGTTCACCTCCACAACTTTTTATATTGAATCATTTAACCAATGGTAGGACGTCTTTAAGGATTCTTTTAGGAATGGGGTATAACAGACACACTGATGGAGCTGAGGAAACCATGTTGTTCTTTCTTTGTGATTGTTTTATGCTTAAGTCAGTTTTGGTTGGTTTGTCGGTCTGTGAGCAGATACAGTTGCTATGGTGATGGGGTTTGGGGTCACAGCAGGGGGAGAGAAGCTGCAGGGAGGTGTGTAAGACTGCAACTCCTTCCTGGTTGCAACGCTGGACAGTCATGTGATTTCTAAAACAGAGATATTGCGCAAATGCAAAAAATCAAGCCTATGGACAGGATTTCTATTTACCCTCTGCTTGTTGGTAGGTAGATGACATTTTTGTCCCAAACCAGCACACTCATACTGCTGCATTTGTCTTAAAACCATACTTGTGTGCATCTGCAAATAGATATAGCATAAGTTCAAATAAAATAATGAAACTTTGAGAATCTAAATGTAATCCTTCAAATGTACTACTTTACAGTGTTATCATTTTAGCTCAAAAAGGGAGTGATATCTGGAGAAACAAGGAAAAAGAATCCATGCAACAGACACCTACTCATAGTTTGGCACATTTCAAACATGCAAACATCGTTGCTATGTAGACAAAGGCTCTGTTCATTTTAAATATCAGATTCACCCAAACACTGCATGAAAGTGAAGCTCTGCCCCACAAACTACTACAGTCTCTAAATGTATTATATTTGGGTGTTTGTGGGCATTCTCCACACACAACAAAAAACACTTTATTGACCGCGGTTAAAAGAGAGAAAGATGGTAAGCACACTGATGTAAACTAAACCCTAACACCTCTACTGGGAACAAGCATAACCACAGGTCAACTTTCCCATCTCTGTTTTCCCAAGAAAACTCAGCAAACTCTTCACAGCCACAGCTCTTGGCTCTCTTCCTCCATCACTTTCCTGACTTTGTTGATCTATGACCACAAATAAGCACAAGAGTTACAAATTGCAGTAGTTTTCATGCTGAAACTCTCAATTTAAAAGTGTTTTTAACAAGCTGCTTTTAGTGATGATGACAGGCTTGACCTCGTAGCCTTCATCCTGAACCCAGAGTTCTCTCAGTGGTTACAAAGTTTTACTAAAAGGCTACAATCCAGCAGTCAGTTATACGTTTATTCAGTTATTCGTTCAGTCCCTTGCTCTTTTCACTCACATGTATTAGAGCGTTGCTCTTTGAATGACACCAGAGCAACATGTATCACACAAAGGGAGACAGCTGTTCTCTCCAAACCTTCCTGCAACGGTGCTGGCGAGGCAGGGGCCGCACCAGAAACCATAGCAGCCTGAAAAACAGAAATACATCACCAAAGTGGTAACATGTCTGAAGTGCCTACGACCCCAGAAATGACAAGAAAAAGATCTTAGAGTTCATCTTACAAGTACTCGCGTCCTCAAAGCAATCCAAGAGACCACTGTCCCAGTCTGTCAAGGGTTTTTCTGCCATTGTGTGTTGAAGTTCAGCCACAGACACTAAATAATTACTCTGTAAAAGTAGAATGAAGTAGAGAAAACCCAAATAAAACAACTGCAATTAAAGTCAGCTTTATACACCTTTGTCTTCTTTCAGCTGAGACAGAAGGCTAAAGAAAGATTCCTTGCATTTGACTTTGTTGATGTTTTTAATATTGTACTGTTAAATGTTTGATCACGATTATAAGTATACTGTTTTATCAAGATTACAGAATTGAATCTGTTTCCAGGAAATGGAGTAACATATAGGATGGAGGGAAACATGCAAACAACTTGCAAATGATATAAAAAGAGAGCACATGAAAACATGAAATGTGGACAAAGAAGTTGCTAGTTTTCCATGAATACTGTTGTAAAAAAACAGGAACATGTTACACATGTTGTTGTTTAGGGTACATCACTTGTGAATCGGGACATGTTATATATCGCTACTTTGACATAGTCCGATTGATTGCAAGGCTAATTTATGACGTTTTTATATTTCTGTTTAACCCTTTCAGGCACAGTGTCACTACAGTGGTCAGCTATTGATGGTACACTTCAACATAAACCACTACATTGGACACTGATGTGTAACTCCGTACCCTGCAACCCACTGGTCAACCAGTTGTCCACCTAAGTGGAGATGTTAAACTCTTCTGAAAAGTACATGTTTTAAAAAAGCGAAGATCAAAAATCTATTTTTTCATGTCTAAAGATGAATAAAAATACTTAAGAAAAGAAATCCAGATTGACACTGTCACTATTCATGCATGAAAGGGTTAAGTTTCTATTGTATATTCACCCTCCATCCATAATAAAGAAAACTGAACAAGTGAAATATCAGAATCTCTGATAAATGAAATAACTGAACTGGCAGCATCATTAACACCAAGCACTAAAGAAAAAAAAGAGATGACACAACAAACTCTTCACTTACTTCTTATTCTGCACTCTGATGTCTCTCCTCTCCAGCACTCAGTCACACTCTGTTCTTCTTTATCAAAGGAGGTCATGACACACAGTCCAGTGAAACCATTGGACATGTGAGCATGACTGGTACTGAATGTATTTGAATATTCAAACAAGTATTTTAAATTGGCTTCACAGAAGTTAAGTGACTGAGAGTGAACTACTGAAACCAGTGGTTTGATGTAAACAGAGC